TAGGTATATATGGACAAATATGTCCATCAGTTTTCTCCTAGACCAAATTTGTCTATCAACGAGTTCAAATAAATGCAAACGTTAGTACATTTTTCTAAATGCGTAAAGACATCGGAGTGAAGTTCCGAGATTAGATGGTTACATACACAACTATTCTCCTTTTATACAGTTACATGAAAATCTAAAACGTGAAAATAAAGATACCACGAACCACAACCAATTATAAGCGATATAATTCTAGTGAATGAAACAAGAGTCAGCAATATAGTTGCCATGCTTGCTGCTTCCATATGAGACCAACGATGTTGTAGTATGGGCCATACCTATTTGCATGTGGGGATGCCTATTAGATAAACCCAACTAAATAAATAAAATTAAAAAGATCAACAACGAACTGCTAGGGGGAATATATAAAATTCATATTTTGGATATTTTTGTGTGTGTCTAAGTAAAATCTTGAGACATAAAAACAAAAATCGGTATAGGTAGAAAACAAGGATTGGTGGATACAAGAACTAGTTTCATATGTCCAATATATATGTTTGTTGGGTTTAACGTCTCTTCCATTGCAACGAAGTGGAATTGCTTGTCCTACTCATTTATCATATGTCTCACTCATGTGTGTCCTAAAATGATAATAATATAATTGTGGGATATCTTTATAAGAATGGTATAGTAACATATACTGTTTTGTTTCCGGTTACGTCATCATAGTGTAGTCCGATCAAAATGTTATAACTAACTAAATATAAGGATAACAATTAGCTACGGTGATGATTTTTAACTATAAAATACTCCTTCTGTTTTTTAAAGAATAATATTTTAGAAAAAAAAGTTGTTACAAAAAGAAGAATGTTTTTATATATTTTTAATGCATTTTATTAGTTAATAATTGTGAATTATGAATTTTGAGAAAAATAAATGAAAGAATTAAATTATTATTAGTTAAAAAATTTAAGAAATTGTTTTTTTTTTATAAAAGATGCATTTATAGTTAAGTTTTAAGTTGTCTTTTTAATATATGTGAAAATTCTAAAACATTCTTCATTTAGAAACAGAAAGAGTATTTTTAAAAGAGTACATTAATAGATAGTAGACCTACTTAAGTATCATCTATTTTTTTTTTTTACAAAAACTCTTAAAAAAATTATTAGTATATTTTCGCATGACTTCAAATCATCGATATACGACAACGAAAAATTGTGAACAAACAACATGTTTAGTAATTCTTCTCATTTCTGATACTCAACAATAACATTTCAAAGAATAGCATGCATATATAATCCTAATTAAGTCGTTAACTTAATTTTGCTATCACCAGAAATTCGCAAAGCAACATTTACAATGCCGCCATGCTGTCTCTCGCCTGCCACACATACATATTTTCCGATCACCATACATAGCACATGCAAGGCCAATCCCAGCCTGCGCGCCCATGGCTCACTCATTATCCCTCAGTACTTAAAGCCATAAAAGCCACAATATAAGCTAAAATTGATATACCAGCCAACCAGTGTTTAATTTTATTTATAAATATGTAACAAAACATTCAACCACAACACTTTTAGATGTCTAGAGAGAGAGAGAGAGAGAGAGAGAGAGAGAGAGAGGGAGAGAGAGAGAGAGAGAGAGAGAGAGAGTCATTCAGAAGAAAAGAAAAAGAACAAGAAGAAAGAATTACGTTGTTATTGCAACTAGAAAGGATTTATTCTGAAATTCACAAAAATGAACATCGCGAACCATTCTCCTCCACCAGTTATATCTTTACGTTGGTTTTATTAATTGTGTATCAACATCAAACTGTTCAGGCATGAATGTGATTTGATTAATACAATGACGCTTTAATTTATTGGAGTTTGACAAAACTAGCGGAGTATAGAAGCCTTAATTAATATTGAGCTAATGTTGATTTTCTTTGATTAAAGTAGCTTTGGTTCCTTTAAAGTAGAAGATTAATTAATCGCATGTTAAGTAATAACCAAAAAGATAAAATTCACGTGTGTATGCATGTGGGTTTGTCTTTGTGTGTATGTCTATTATATTTGATGTCCATTCAAAATAATATGCAAATTTGCACTTAAAGTTAGCGATGTTTGATTAGGATTGATCATGTATTTTCCTCCAATAGTCAGATGTACGTAGTTATTTATTTAGAACCCGAAAATATTAGTTCATGAGAACGATACATATAGGCATGTGATCAGTTTTAATCTGGCCGAGTACTAACTAGATGCATCAGCAAGAAACCAACAAAGTTATGAGAAAAAAAAAAAGTAACTCAAAATTATATAACCAAATGAGATATTGCTCTACTTAATTAATGAGGCATCAATATCATCGTGATACTACTAATGTCACGAATAACGATCGCTCATACTTCATATTCAAACGTAGCTGTAATTATATTTTAAAAATATACTCCCTCTGTTTCAAATTATAAGTTGTTTTAGATGGATGCATAAATATTAAGAAAAGTGTTTTTGTTTAAAAAGTATTATTAGATATATTAGTTAAATATAAATAAAGCAATCATGAAAAATTATAATTGGTCACACACTATTCAATACATATAAAATTGTATAAAAAAATATGAGAACAACTTGTATTTTGAAACAAACCTAAACATCTAAAACAACTTATATTATGAAACAGATGGAGTATTATATAAATACAATGTATATGGTGGCTAGCTGAATGATGAAAATTGCATCAAACATAAGAAAATTAAGTCTATAACAACAAATTCACTTTAAAAACTTGATAAAATTAGGTGTAAGAATTAATTCATAAATATTCTCAACAGAAAATAAATAAAACCTCCTATAAGCAAACAGTATTATAACAGAAGACAATCTTTTTATAATTTCGTTTAAAGATATTTTTATAAATATATTTTAAAACAAAAAGCACTCACGAATTGGAAAAAAGTGAAAAAAGCATTTGACATTGTTAAGCTTCGTGTTTTGGATGACTTTAAGTCTTTAACCATAGAAAGAGAAGCTTTAATCAAATTTACCAAACTATGCGATTAGCATCCGGGTTAATCTATCCGAGATTTTTTGTTCCGAGTCAATCTATATAGTATATACACTTTGACTCAGAGTTAGTGTATCGTTGACTCGTTGCAACTTACCCATTAAACTAATAGTGTCTGGCCCACCATGTGAATTAACCAATCAGGACGCCGCTCGTAGGACCATATGCTGCTGACTCATCAATTTGGATTTTGCGAGAGTAATGGGTCCCATGTTTAAATTAATTATTTGGATTTTAGCCTCTCTCGTTCGGTAGGCATTTATTTAGTTAGTTAAATCAATTTTTGATTAAAAAAAGAAAGTTAAATCAATTTAAGAACAAACACCATTGGTCCATGATCCATAATGGTAATGGCCTGATACTGATCGGGCTTGGGCTTTTTCAATCCTAGCTTCTTGTTTTTTGTTAACTAAATTCTGACAGTATACATCCGAATCTATTTCTTTAGTTCCTCAAATGCAATTTTCTTGAACCATCATCACATGACCCCTTGCTTTTATAATCTCCTCATTAATTCATTGGACACAAATTGTATTATGTTATCTTTTACGAAAAGTTAAATAAGTTTTTCAAATTTATTTTTGAAATGTTACTACTTACTATTACTAACCAAATACCGATCGAATTGTGTTAGCTAATCTGATGAATCTACGCAAAGGTTTTTAATTATGTGTCTAATATGGTTTGGTACTTTGTCTCTGGTATTCTTCCATAGACAGCCAATAAACAAAATAAACATACGAATATATCAATATATGTATTTTATTAATCACAAACCAAGTTTGGTTAGCTAGATAACACGTGTATTAGAGTTGGGGGTTTTGATTGTTGAGCTAACTCTAATCAGAATGCATGAACTGTCAAAATAATCTGAAAAAAAAAAAATATGAAGTTGAACTAACGAAAAGCTCAATTCAACCACATAAAAACCGTAAAATACACCTAATAAAAAACCTATATATATTTATTTTTTTGAGAATTCTTTGTCATCTATATGTCTTGCCACTATATAAACTCAATAGCATATCACTGAGTTTCTCATCAACACAAAGCAACAAAGAAGAAACAATTAGAGAGTTGCTTAACCATATAACTAATTAAAGATTCAAAATGGCATCACACAAGCTCTTTCTCATTGCTTTCTTGGTGAGTCTTTCTTCATCTATTATGATCAACACTTGCTCAGCCTCACGCCATCTTCTGCAGCAACAACCTCTTCCTCAGATTCCGAACTTGCCTATCCCAACAATGGGACTACCTCCATTGCCATCAACATTGCCACAACCATCTCTTCCCACTTCAATCCCTCCATTCGCAATGCCAACTTTGCCTTCGTTTCCAACAACAATCCCTTCTCTTCCGACTAATTTCCCATCTATTCCGTTCTTCTTCTCTCCACCACCTTCTACAGCTACATCGAGTCCTTAATATACTCATTTTCATGTGTTTGATGTATTTCTTATATATACTTTTGTGATTGTAACGAGTTGTTTTAGTTGTGGTGTGTTTTGGTTATGCAAACCCGTATGATTTTTTGTATTTTTCATTTGGTGTACCTGTGAAGGGTTCTTTTACTCATATTTGATTATGTATCTAATATATATGTATAAGTTGTTATACTTATAAGTGCATATTTATCCGTTTAAATTCAACCCAAATTGTAGTAAAAGACACAATATTTACGTGTTGGTGTTGAGCCTAAAAAGTAATATTATTTCCTTCTCTATTATTACAGAATTAAAGTAACGATTAAAGTAAAAAAGATGATCATGTATATGATTATGCATGTAGACACAAAATACACATAGATACAGATACCAACCTCTACCCCGAGCAAAAAAGCAACTAAAACAAAATTTATATCTAAAACATTTTCATTTTCTTAATACTACTACATTTTCTTATTTATTTTAGTCATTATCATAACTTCTTTTTTTTAATATAATTTCAATAAGCTTATTTAATTAAATGTCATCTTCCTCTGACATCATCTCCAAAGACCTGCACTCGCTGCTACAGAAGGCTCTATCTCCCCTGCAAATTAAGTCACCACAAATTGTTTGTTAATTAGCTAATCAAAATTCAATTACAAATATCATTTAGTTTAAATTCGTTGTTATGGAGTATATAATCCGAATTGTGAATATGAATTTACCTGTACATGAAAATGTCATCACGAGGTCCAAGAGTCTTCTTACAGTTACAGCAAGCGCTGAGAAAGCTGTCGGGTGGGAGATAATCCGATTCGTTTACCGGGTCGGAGCTCCGGAAGAAAACGACGCCGGGTTGGCTCTCGACGATACAGTTATCGAATATATGGATCGTTCTCGGGTTAGGTCCGTGACACGTCACGCACGTGTAATCCTCCGATAGCTCCATATCGCTGGTAGAGAAGTAGCCCGTGAAGATTCGGGGAGATCCAAGACCCGACCCGGGAACCGTATTCTTCTTCTCTTCCGGCGAAGGGGAAAGCGGAGAATTCCTCGTTTTGATCCCATAATCCGACGAGGATCTTGGAGAGTCCGGGACCCGGATCCGAAGCTGTGACCCGAATATAATTGTACCGGATCTTGGTCGGGAGAATCCGGGTTCTGAGTTTTCTTCTTGGATGAGAGAATCGACAATGGCGAGCCCGATTCTTTTGGGTTCGGGCTTGATCCGGGTCTCGGGTTCATGGGTTTTCGGGTTGTCGGATCCGAAAGGGTTTTTCAGAACAGAGAAAGGTTTTGTGTCGAGAATCGAGGTTGGGCTTGCGACGGCGTCGTTTTCAGTGAAGCTTTTGAAGCTGCTGAAAGCTGTGAAGAGCCGTGGAAACGGCGTCGGTTTGCTCTGTTTCTGGTTCGTATCCGCCATTAAAGCTTGCTTGCTTCTTGATCTCTTCTTCAGCATAGTTCACTGATCAATTACGCAAAAAAAAAAAATCACAGCTTAATTAGAACTCAATTCTCTTCGTAATAGCAAAATTGAGAAATCAAGAAAGAAAGAATCTATGAAAACTAACCTCAAAGGATCAGAAAAGTTGTGAAAATTTCAGAGAAAATAAGATTGATGCAATTCTGTTGCCTCCATGATTTGAGAAAGAAAAGGAAGAGAAAAGTAAACAAATCAGAAAAGAAACGAAAGTAACTGAAAAGATGAGAGCTTTTATTTCTTTAAATTAGATTATTTTACTCCCGACTTTCTCGCACTTTCTTCCTCAGTGTAACATAAAACGTTCTGCTAGAGATTGGAGAAAGAACAAACAAACAAAAACAAGAAATACAATTATAAAAAAAAAAAAAAGAAGAAGGAGAGAAATTGATCCGTTTCTTTTTGTTTGCTTTTGCTTTTTTATTATTTCATTTTTGGGGGTTAGTGGGTTATAGTTTCGATGGACCTGAGAGAACAAAACAGCCCCACTTATTCTCTTCCATATCTAAAAACCCTCAAAAATCGCCATGAAGTTGCATAGCAGAAGCAGAGCACTAAAGAGTAAAGACACACACACGCACTTACTAACGCCTGTATGAATTTATATATACTCTACATGCATATATCTGTATTTCTTTATTTTTTTATAATTAAGTTCTGTGTATAATATATGTAAAATATATATATAGAGAGAGAGAGAGGGAGAGAGAGGTACAATCGAAATCAGTGGGTGAAGAAACTAATAAGAAGAAAACCACTCGACGCTTTAACTTCAGCAGTGGAACTTCCCAAATTCGTTTCATTTGTTTAAAATTATTTATTTTTTGTCATTTTATTCTTTATTAATTTATGATTTTTGCTTTTCAGTGTGCCATGGAACCACTCACGTCGTTTTCTACTGACCCTTTCGTCTTTTTTTATTTATTTTCTTTTGGATTTTTTTTTTCCATATTCTTTTCTGTTTATTTGGAGAAGAAAAGGAACTTTAGAAATTTAATAAAAGGTTGTTGCAAAAAAAAAAATATATATATATATATAATGAAAGGAAGTAGAAAATTCTCGTGTTGCATACTTCATTCTTGCATATCGTACGAGCTACGACTAATCCATACAATTCACTCTATACTCTATAGTACAAGAACGTTTTCTAAGCAGAATTTCCCAAAGTTGCTTACCTCTTTTTATGTTTTTTTAAATCGTAATTTGAGTTTGTAGATCACTTAATATAGAGGCAATGTATTTCTCAGTTCTCACTAATTCATGATAAGCTGTTATAGGTAACCTACATCTCTACATAATAGAATGTGGAAAGGAAAAAGAAATTCAAGACGACATTGTTTGGAAATGCAGAAATGAATTATTTGTTTCTGTTTTTTTGCACTTAAAAACGGTAGGACCGAGATTTTTTTGCTATTAAAATGATGATGTTTTCAAACATTTAGCGAAATTTCATTAGAATGAAAAAGAAATAGAACTTTCACGAAAACAACGAATGTATATTCAGTTTCGAGTCTTTATAAATGGCTTTATCAGTTTATCGTAGTTTTTTTTATTAGTTATGACTATCTAACTATATGCTAATTAGTTTTAACAAGTCATGACTATAATCAAATAAATTCCATTACAATGTGGGATTTCGATTAATTCAACTTTGTTTCACTTAATTGATATTCCATTACATAACGCAGTTATTTTTAATTCCATTCGTTATCTTTTGTTGAGAATCACATAGGAAGTGACGATTTTCGAAAATGAAAATGTAAAAATGAACATCTTATTCCATTTCGTTATCATTTAAATTTAGGAATGCGATAGGAATGATAATTTGTTTACTATTAAAATCATGTCACAAACATTTTTAGATAAGTTTCGCATCATCATGTCTCAATCATCTCCCAAATTTCCAACAAAATGACAAGAAAGCAGAAATTACACGAAAACAATGAAGTTTATAGTACGTTTTAGGGCTGTTGAGATAGTTTTTTCATATTTTTTTTTTAATTTAACAGTGTTATCTCGAAGGTAAAAAAATCAGAACCTATTGTCCTTCCCCTTTCCAAACGATATTTTACGAAACCTAGTAAAGATTAAAAATGTAAAATGGACGATAATTTTTAGAATGTGATCACCTCTATGCATAGTTAAAGAATCTTATATTTTTTTACATCAAAATGAATGCGTAATGGCAATTTATGTTCAATTCTTCCCACAATTTCTCAAGATGATTACTATAATCAAAGAAATTCCGGTATGATGAAGGTTTTCACCATAACCAAGTTTTTTTTCACTTAGTTGATTATAACATTACATATCTCCTTTTAAAAAAAAAATATTCTGTACTCGTCATCAATTCGAACATTGGTTTAACTTAAAAACCAAATCTTTGTTTACAATGTGTTTCAGTAAGTTTCATTATAATACAGAATATGAGTTCATAACCTATGTAGATTTACGAAGTTTTAGCAAAATTTAAACCGAATTACGAGTAACTCATCTGCAGAAAACGCGCAAGTAGTTTTCTCAATGGGAGACAAATCGAGATGATGATTACAAGACTTTTGGTTCTCTTTATAAATAAAATAGTCTATGCATGATGATCATGATATTTTCTCTTGTGTAATGATTTATGGTACGTTTTTGGTGATGATGATAATATTGTTATAACATGGGAGTGTGGGTGGACTTGGTCACTCAGCATCGGAATGGAATGAGATACGATCATACGTACGAATATATTTCACAATCCTAACTGATCTCTTTTGCTTTCATCGCTGTCTTTAGTCTCTTTGTGTGAACATTGTACATACTACACACTCGTAATATAATTCATATAGTTAATTAATCACACACTTGCAATATACAAAACCGACTAATTATTGACATTATTTTGGACCACAAGTCCATAATTTTTATATACTGCATGCATGGATATATCATATATTTATATCCAATTTTTAAAGAAACATAATTTAAAAATTTTCAAGTAATAAAACTATGAAAATTACAAAGATTCAAAACTATCTACTTGCAATTGTAAAAGACCTGGTTTATTATGTTAAAGAGGAGCTTGTTTTTTACGTTTCATTTTTTAAACTGTACTATTTTATATGTTTGTACCATTAACTTTTTTGAACCCATGTATACAATTTTTTTTTAAAACATATTATACTGTATAGAAACATTGCCGCATCTGCCTAAAAGTTTCCATCATCTTTACGGATTTGATTATTGTTGCTTGTATACATGTTGTGTTCTCCATTATATAACTTTGATGGAACAAAATTAATAAATTATTCATTCATCAATCAAAGTTCAGGGACAAAAAATCAAGATGGGATTTAAGCAATGTTTGTTTGCCAAGTTTGATAATCATCAATTTGACTATAATAGTGTGAAGTCTCACACAGTGGAGAACTAATGAAGCATCATGAGTCGTGTCATGGCTCGTGAACACAATCCATCATATCATCGTGACCGTCCGTGAGATCAGAATCTAATCTCTCTGTTGCTGTCAGAAAAAGGAGCCCACACTTTTAAGAATTATGATGGGCCCCAGCAATAACCTTCTGAAAGCATTAAGAGTTGCTGCCACGTGGACTAAATGGGGACCACATAAGCTCACATCGGCATTCACTGCTTCCTGTCGCATCATCTATCTTTTACACAGAAAGTAAAATAAGTGAAATTTGAAATAAGAGAGGTAATAATGTTTTTATGGAAGAGGCGTGACCACACGACGAATACAATTTGCAATTAAGTTTTTGGACTTACTCGTTTGATTAAACTCTCCTCTTCTCTCTCTCTCTCTGGATGTCTCAAGTTACGCCAATAGGCCCAATATTATTGCAGTTGAGAGGTGGTTTTGTTGGTTTACCTGGTCACAATTTGTTGAAATTGTTATAAATAAAGTTGCATGTATTGTGTTTTTGCGTGTCCATCAGGCACTGAAGTATCGATTTGCCGATGTCTCTTCATGTTTTATTCAAATTAACGTTGGATTTGTTTTGAAATGACAAGCACGAATCAAGAAACTTGACTAATTAACAAGATTATGTTTGATTTCAGACAAATATGTCTCTACATCTTTGATATAATCTCACAGATTTTTATTAAAATGAAAATCCTTGGCGACCAATCTATAATGACTTACATCAATCCCAATTAAATTCTTGAAACATTATGGCGGCAGTAATATAAAAAGCACAAATCTTAATAAATCGTGTATAATTTACAAGTTGGTGTTGCTTTAGAATAAAAGCTGGCTGGAGTAATTAACAAATATGGTATCATTAGAACTAACTAATAACTTTAATATTCGTTTCTCATTCTAACTGAATTATTAATAAAGTTTAATAGAAATAGAACAAGACTAAATATACAAATACGAATCTCTCAAAAATATAAACAATTTTAAACTATAAACTTAATACAAAACCTCAAGTAATATATTAGCAAACACATATATGTCAAAAACAATTCGAGTTTATGCGAAGTTTAAGGATGGTATCGGTCTATCAGTTGCAATTTTTATAGTAATAACTAATAAGTATGCAAGTGGTTGAATATGAAGTTGACACATTTAAGATTTGATAGGACAAGAAATGTAAACATATCATTTTGACGATACTATGCATGAGTTCTGTTCAAGACGCATGCGTGCTCCTTGATACTTCTTCGCAAATACTTTCACACCTTTTTGTTTTTGTTTTTTGCCATTTCTTCATAAATACTATTTAAGTATATATGGACCTACTGTAACGTTCCAAATAATATAATATTTGACGCATAACTATATACTCCATCCGAATTGTATAATGCCGAATATTTTCTATTCTGTAATAGATGCCTCCATGGCACTGACGTATTTGTGTAGATCCAGAGCAGGAAAAAAACACTTAGAACTGTCAAAATATATTTTCGGTCAGTTACACACTATTGACTATTAAGAATTATTAATCGGTTGGAACAATATACTATATTGATATTTTTAATGTAATTTTATTTTTCAGTTATATACTTATCGCATACGTACGAAGAATTCATACTAGACTTTTATTTGGCAAAACAATCCTTTTCTAATATTTCGCAAGTTAACAAAAATGTGTTGTTGCTCGGCAGAAATAGAACTTTATATTAAACCATTGACTTTGATTTTGGTACTAGTTACCTTAAAAATCTAACTAATTACTAATATGTTATGTGGTGGATTATGGACAAAACCACCGTTGATATTTTCTTCCCGAATTAATAACGTTAAGATTCAAGAAATAGAAAAGTCACCATAGATTATATAATTCATATGGCACGGATTGAAACAACTTATATGACATGATAAGAACATGGAGACAAAAGGCACCATCACTCGTTGTCGTAAACATCTTTTTCTTTGCAAACCAAATAAATATTTGCTTTCGTATATCATTTCGGTTAAAACCAACAAATTACTGACTATTATGTTACTTCTTCGTTTTCCCCTTGTTTAATTATTATATCAACAATTCAATCCTTAACAAAACAATACAAAAACATATCTCTAACTACTCCTTTGCAAAAACCATACTTTTTAAGCAAACCCTCTTTTTGAAACCCAGCTTTCTCCAAAACCTTCTGTGACGCTTTGTTCTCCACCTCCACCACCGCTTGTATCCTCACCACCGCCGGAAAAACCTTAAAAGCTTGGTCCACCGCCATCTTCACCGCCGCCGTGGCTATCCCCCGCCCCCAAAACTCTTTCGCGACCGCGTATCCGAGGTTGGCACGGCACCTACCATCGCCGGTATCTGGCCTGAGGGAGACGCAACCGATCGAACGACCGTCGTCGGTCAGAGAGATGGAACGGCGCCATGGGTGTGGTATGGCCTTTTGGAGTATGTGTTGTTGGGCTTCTTCTACGGTTTTAACGGAGGTCCAACGGAGGTAACGTGTGACGTCATCGTCACCGGCCCATTTAAGAACGTCTTCGGCGTCTAAGAGATTAAACGGCCGGAGGAAGATCTTTGCTGCTTCCATGGTTTATGAAGCGTTGCAATTCCTTAATTGTATTGTAACCAATTATTAAAAAAGTCTTATATGATTCAATATATACCAGAAAACTCAAGAGATAATTCTAATAAGCTTAAAAGCCCATTAAAAATTTGGGCCTATCTTGTCAGATTCACAAACAGCCCATTAAATGTTATTGCCTCTTTGGGGATTTCACTCTCTCCTCTCTTACTCTCTTCTTCTTCAAGAATCTGTGTAAGCTTCATAGCATAAACCCTAAAGATCGAAAATCAAATTCTCTCTCTCTGAAACTATGGATCCATTATCGGTGCTAAAGGATTTCACGACGAGGGGAGACCTGGATAAAATCGAGCGGGTCGGGGTTAGTTACCGATTCGGATCGGAATATTCGTTTGCGTGCGCGACGGAGACGGCGTACAGGTCGAAAGGTGGGACTCTCTACACTCTAGAAGCGTTGGTTCACTATGTGAAGAACCAGCATCTGAAACCCGGCGAGTATATGCAATCCACCGTGAAAAACGCTGTTCCGGCGGTAACTTTACCAGATCGGAAACCTCTCCTCGATTACCTCACCGGAAGAGTAGCTTCCTCCGATTCGATCGACTACCTATTGCTCCAGCAGCAGAACGCGCAGAGCCAGAAGCAGAACGAAGAGTACCGACCGGATCAGGACAACTCGGCGTTTGTTTCCAGAGAAAGCGCCATCGAAGACATGGAGGTCGAGGATTTCGGCAAATCCGGCGACGACGTCGACTACATTATGCTGATCCGGTCCAACGAGCGGCCGTTGAAGAGCAGAGACGCGGTTCTTCAGTGCAAGAACAGGGACTTCTACAGTGTGCTGGTGAATTCGACGAAGAGGGAAGAGGAGAGACAGAGGATCGAGTCTCACCAGAGGAAAGACGGGTTGGTTGCGAAGAGTAGGTTGATGGGTGCTGAGGAGAGAGGCATTGTAGGGTTTAGCGGAGGCGGAGACGATTCTGGGTATGACGCAAACCCTAAATCTAAGCTTCGGAAGATAGGAGAAGGCGTGCCGATCATCCTCGTCCCGAGTGCGTTTCAAACGCTCATCACTATGTACAACGTGAAGGAGTTTCTTGAAGATGGAGTTTATATACCGAATGATGTTAAGGCGAAGCAGATGAAAGGGATAAAGCCGGATTGTGTCACGGTGCAGAAGAAGTTTAGTAGAGACAGAGAGAGAGTTGTGACTGCTTATGAGGTTAGGGACAAGCCATCTGCTTTGAAGCCTGATGATTGGGACCGTGTTGTTGCGGTTTTCGTGCTGGGGAAAGATTGGCAGTTCAAGGACTGGCCTTTCAAGGATCATGTTGAGATATTCAATAAGAGTAAGCCACAAAAAGATTCAATTTTTTAGTTTTCTTGGGATTAGAATTTGAATGGGTTGAAGAATCTGCTACTTGGGTTTTTGTAGTTGGAGCTGAAATTTGTTTTTTTGTTGTTGTTGTAGTTATTGGGTTCTTCTTGCGGTTTGAGGATGATAGTATTGAATCAGCCAAGACGGTGAAGCAGTGGAATGTGAAGATCATCTCGGTGAGGAATCAATCTAACACACCTCTTTTATCTGCTGTTTATGTTGAAATTGTCATGATAAACTGAATCTAGGAGCTTCTTCTGTGTGTTCTGAACTTTTCAGATTAGCAAGAACAAGAGGCATCAAGATCGAGCTGCTGCATTAGAAGTCTGGGAGAAACTCGAGGAGTTTGTACGATCTCGGTCGCATTCTTAGTATCTTATAGTTGTAGAAAATCATTTTATGTATCAACAACTTTCCTCTCTTTTTATATTTTGTTTTTCCTAATTGATGATAACCTTTATACTGTCTGTGTAACATTAGCAAGATCACATAGTTGTGCAATGTTGTTGTATTAAAAAAATTGTTCAATGCTTAGCGAAAGGCAGAGAGAGCTTGCAATGCACAAAGTTTCCATAGACTTGAAACTTTCTTGTTAATAAATGTGGCATAATATGTGGAGAAACACAAGCGTCATGGTCATCTTCTTCTCATCTTGTTGCTGTTACAGGTTGAAGTTCATTCATTGAGAGAGCTAATATTCTGTTTTTTTTTTAAATTGTATTTTGGAAAATAATGTTTATTATAAAAGGTAAAGAGATACAACATCCTCTCTGGTGCTACAAACCAATATCACCTAGAGAGTTGGGATTCATAGAGGATAAAAATACATCACACAAAATCACAATGTAGTGTGAATAAATAGGGAACAATAAAGAATACAATCTCAGTAGCATGCAAGCTTCATCGAACGTGGATGGGGGAAAAATCAGTAGTTCAAGAAGATTGCGATGTAGGAAGCCGTGGAAAGGAAGGCAAGAAGAGGAAATGAGAATTTGATAGAGCTTCCATCAGAAGATGGTCCATCTCCTTCCCCTACTGGTACAGTTTTGGATCCATTCCCTGGTCCTAAAGATAAATTCCCAACATGGATGCATTAGATAACAGATAATCGATATTGAGATTAATTGTTTCTTACTTAAAATCTGTTTTTTTTAAGTCATTTACCTGAAGAGTTTGGCGAATCTGCAGGAGAGTCAGCGGTAGAGCCACCACCGTTGTTACAGCGACTAACAGGAGGAGTCTGAACATTACAAGCCTTAGGCAAAGCAAGAGCCTGTGTTTGGTTAACGTTGAGACCAAGCTGAGATCCTCCACCGTTGAGTACTTGACACAAACAGTCAGGAGAAGACTGGACAACGTTAGACAACTGACTACAGCATTGGCGAGAAGGAGAGGTTGAGTTTCCGGTTATGTAGTTGAGACATGGCGACATGCTTATCAAAGCGGTTGTGCAACTCGACTGCTGAGCAGAGACTCTTGTAGAAGACATCACAGCCATGAAAACTGTAAGGAGCACTAAACCCATTCCCATTTTCATGTTTTTTTTTCTTTCTTTTCTTGAGATGTGTGTTTGTGAATATGAGTTTGTTTTGTTGTGTTCGATTGGATTTGTGGAGTCTTTGGGGGGATTAAATGAAGGATATAAATAAGGAATTGAGAAAAGTAAAAAAATAACAAAAGGTGACTTGATTTTGGTGACCCACTTTTTCCTACTTTTCTAACAGTTTTGTGGGAAGTATTGTGTCTTTTGGTCTGTTTGGACACGAAGTGTTGTGTTGTGAACAGAACTGATTCCTTTTGTTTTGTTTTTGGGGTCGGTGGTTTTTGTGACGGTCTAGGCTTTGGTTGTTGAACTACTTCTTTGATTAAGGTTTTAGGAGTTTTGCTAAGTACTTGTATATGACACAGTGATTGTTTTGTATTATTGTTATTTTTTTTCTTTTGATTGACCAATTTGTTTGACTTGACTTAAACAGGTGTCGAAATTTTTCAGTTAGGACAATGTCTTGTACAAGTCTTTTGACGTTCTAGATTAAAATATGTTTTAAAGCAGGTTTTGATTCAATGGTGAGTCATATGGTTGCCGTGTTTACAAATTAAGGTAAAGTTCAACTATCTAGACCAGGATAAGATCACTTGACTACGAAAATTATTAGCCATCAATGACTTGTGTTCATATCGGATTTTGGGATGGATAAAATAACATGAAAGGGTTGAAAACAAAAAGAATTGGATAAATTCGGGTATTATATGTATTTAAAATCATTATAAATGTATTTTGGATAAGGGTATAAAATTCGAGATCCAATTATTTCATGTCATTTGGGGAAATTATGGCTAGTTTTGAGTATATAATTTTATTTCTCTTGAGATGTTACTATGGTGTATATTTTTTGTTTGAATATCCATAAAATGTATTATCCTACAAAACGTTATTTAGGCTACAAAAGTTTATTATCACTTTATCATTTATCTAACGTACCAAAAACCTTTTCCATTGTTGAGAACATGTGAAGTTTTTGTTACTTTCGTAAGCGATCATTTTGTGACTTTTGTCTTAACTCAACTTTTGTTACATTATAATCTCTTGTGATCTCTTGTTTAGTTACCAACACAGAACAACCATGCAAGAGTGGTTCATCTAATACAATTGTAAACGAATTCGACAGCTATCTACCACACTCCTCTGTACAAGTGTACGCATCCCATTGGTCAATTCACTAATCACTACCAACAACGACCCAATAAACGAAAAAAAAACATAATTAGTTATAGTAGCTGACCTATACACACTTGCTTCTTTCCCTCCACTTTTGTCTACCTATAAAACCATTCCCACAATTACTTACTTCTCATCACAAAAACACAAAACGCACTACAAACACTAGCCTCATAAGAACAAACAAACAAGCTTGATCAATCAACAATGTCGAAGACTCCGGCTATAACCGTCTTGGTAGTGGCCTTAATCGCAGTGCTAGCTTTACCGGTTCGCAGCCAGCAACCGCCGCTAAGCCAATGCACACCGTCTATGATGACCACAGTTGGTCCTTGTATGAGCTTCTTAACCAACAGCACAAGCAATGGAACCTCACCGTCGTCTGATTGTTGTAACTCGCTGAGATCTTTGACTACCGGAGGAATGGGATGTCTCTGTCTTATTGTCACCGGAAGTGTTCCTTTTAATATTCCGGTTAACCGTACAACCGCCGTATCTCTTCCACGTGCTTGTAACATGCCTAGAGTCCCTCTTCAATGCAAAGGCAAATACATCAAAAAAAATTCCCCTCTGTACATTACATTTTATGTACCTGATTAAATCAATTATCTAATTTATACTTTGATAATTTTGTTTTGTTTTTTCTTAACAGCTAATATTCCTCCAGCTTCTGCTCCTGGTAAGCAACTAATCACAATGATCATAATCTCATTTAATCAAAATTTTGCTTGGAAAAATGAATTTGATTTGAGTTTTTTTTTTTTTTTTTGGAGGAACAGGACCGGCTGGTACATTTGGACCGGCGATGTCTCCTGGTCCAGCGACGACACCAATTGTTCCAGAGCCAACTCCGTCAGCTCAGGCACCACAGTCCGATGTAACCCGACCTTTTACACCAACCGTGGACGGTGCAGCTCCTACGTCTGACGACGGAGGAAGCACCAGTCGACCTTCTGTCACTCCTTCATCCGCCTACACGCTCTCACCATCTCTTCTCTTCCTCGGCGTCAGCCTCTTAGCTCTCAAATTCTACTGATGAATTCGTTCTTCACTTAATTTCCTATGTATTGTGATTTGATTTATGCATTTGTCGATTTATATATATAGAGAAAGAAAGAAAAAAAACCATTTATTTGGTCGTTGCTTTGTTGAATAAGCTTTGTGTATAATTTGTTTTTATGGTACTGTCATTGTTTTGAGTGAGATTCACTTTGTATTGTCTGAAGTAATATATCATTTGCTTGATGCTCAAACTTTTAAAAAAATGTCAAACAAAACACAAACTCCAAATAAAAGCGAATGTCACAAAGCTGAGTTAAACGTAACTTATGGAACCCAAACACACACACAAAACATAACTCAGACAACAGCAGTTGTGACGTCCTGTACGGACAGACGCCAAGCGTAAGTACGAGCTCCATCTTTGTCAACAATCTTGATCACAAAGTTTGGTGGCGCAACAACAAGCCTCGACCGGATCTCAAGTATGCATTGGTCGACCAGTTCGATGGCTTCTTCTACGGACATGTCGCTGCGGAAGTGCCTGTCCATCGTGGCGAGGGAGAAGTAGGATCCGTAACCGAAAGCTCCCTTGTCAACTTTGTGAAGAGTCGCGAGGTAGTCGATGTAGTAAAGAGAAGCGCCGCTCTCGTTGTCGTAGCCAGCCATCAGGATGTTCACGGAATACGGATTCTGATCAAACAGTGAGTTATCTCAAATTTTGTTTCCATCAAAGATAAAAGCAAAGGGAATGTGAGTTTATCATGTATAGCCCTCAAGACTGTATAATGATTGGGATATCAATCTGAAAATGATAATAAATTAGTATGGGGTATCAACATTTTACATAGTCATGTAAACCACAGAGGCCTTGAAAGAAGACAGCACAATCATATTAGTCTAGTAATAAAGTCCAACACAAAGCTTGGACATAAGAAACAATCGGTTCCGACCTGAGATTCATCTTTTCCACAAAAAACGATTCATTAATATTGTAGACGATAACAACATAAGAAGACTTTCTGCAACTCTTGTAGTGATCATTTGGCACAGAACGGGATAGTCACAGTACATACGAAACAGCGTAAACATAGGCATCTTATCAAATCAGATCTCCTAATAAGACGAACTTAAACTAAGTAATTCAAACTCATTACTCATCACAGAACTACTTCAATCACAACAATACTTAACAGTGCCAGATAGAAAAGGAGGTGAAACCTGAGAGACCTTATACTTATCAAAACCACAGGCATTGCAGAGGAAAACTTCAATACAATTCACAGAACTCTTCAATCAAACGACGATTTTCAAATAAAATGAATCAAAAGCTGACAATAAACCCAAGAGAAACCTGCCATAGCCACACTACAATCATGACTATACCAAATATCCAAGCAATCACAGTATCATCAGCAATCGATTATCTTCCGCAATTTCTTACAGGCTTAAAGGCAAGAAATTGGAAAAAAAAAACCCCAAAATTAGAAACCCTAAAAGCAGAGCTAGAAGAAGAAGTTAAAACCTTCCTCAAAGCAGTGGCGAGCTCTCCGCGAGTGAAGTTAGCGGCGGCGGCGGTAGTCAAAGGGATTCCGTTACGGAACTTGTACAGCGACACATTCTTCTGAACGTACTCCGTAAACTGAACCCTATCATCCCCCAATTCGAGAGAAATTTCTCTAAATACTAACTCACCGCAGAAATTCACACATATATGGAGGGACAGTGATCGGAAGAGGAGATTACCGGTCACCTGGCTCGCCGCTGGCAGCGACGAGCTTGTGGGAGTCGAGTTCCATGATCTTGTCCTCGTTGTTTTTGTGGACAAGGATACTGTGAACCGCCGATGAATCCGCCGCGACGATGGCGAATCCATTCCCGACTAGACCCAATACGCACTCCATCTTCTCTTCTCTGCTACAGATCTGTGTACCTCAGGACTCACAATTCCTCTTTCGTCGATTCCGATTTGATTTTCTCCGGCGTGGCGAAGAGGAAACAGAATCTGGTCGATGGTTGAGTGATATAAGAGACTACAAAAGCGTCTTGACGAACAAGCCTTCTTTGTGTTGTTCTATGTTGGCTTTTCTGCTGAAGGAGAGACCGTCAGGGGTATTACAGAAATGGGCTTTTATTATTAAGCCCATTGTTATCATTTCAAGTTGAAAACTGAAATGGGCTTTCATTATTAGGCCCATTGTTATCATTTTTCGTCCTGGTTTAGATTTCGGTTACTTTTATGCTCTCTTTCATTTCTATAACGGTATAACCCGTAGAGCTACTTGTTTAGGTTGCATTGCATATACTACTGATAAAATCTTATCTTCAGATTTGTCAAATTGTGTATGTAGTACAATTACATTCGACAGATTCTTGAATTAAGAATTCAAAAAAATCACAAATATACACAACATCATCAATCATATACAACCAAACCGGATGTTTTATTATTTATTTAAAACAGAGGAAATCTGTTACAGCAATTTACAACTCAAGAAACGTTACAGAACGTAACCGTATGATTATTATTATTAACTACAACCATTTCATTATTTTTCTTAAGACTGTAGATGCAATCTCAAAAACCGGCCAAGTTGAAGATTGATTGAAAAGACGGTTTGGGTTCCTCTGGAAACTGATGTCTACGAACCGTCGGTGCAAAGCCGGAACAGTTTTGGCTTGTGAAAAGTTTCTCCGCCAATTTCTCTCCCACACCAAACGTCAGCCTCGTAGCCACCATGTCGAGGTTGCTCAGCATATTGTCTTGCCCTAAACCCAACCAAACAATTTGCCTTTTAGAGTGAGAGACACACGACAGAGAAGTAATTTATAAGACTATTGATTATAACCCTTTTTCTTTACCTGCAAGGAACGTTCTTGTGCTGTTGGACGCATTAATACCAAACCCTACGGCGACAAAGTTTTGACTTTGTGAGAGCATAGCGAATGGATGACCTGCCGGAATGATAAACACTTCGCCTTTACAAACCCGTGACACAATCTTTTGTACTCGTCCACTCATTTCTTCTTCTTCTTCTTCTTCTTGTCCTGGTCCAAACCAAGGTTCTTGTTGTTGTTGTTGCTCTCCTTGGAATGTATAAGGACTAGCCATCTCGAAGCGGGCGCAACCATTCTCCACGAACGCTACAAAGGTTGTCTTAGAGTTAAAGTGAGGAAGGAACAATGATCCCTGCATTAAGATACAACCGTTAGTAATTGATCCATCGTCAAACAATAGGAGTATAATATAACAATTGCTGATTGTAAACCTGTGTCATGTTAGCCCAAGCGACGGAGATGTCAAGGTCTTGGAGTTGACTAAACCTTTTAGGGTTTGCCTCGTGGAAACGACCAAAGTCGTTGGAGTAGATTGGATCTTGTGTAAAGATACTGAAAGGGTTCCACACTCTGCTTATGTCTTTGTCGTCTTTGTCTTTGTTTGAAGGAGAAGTAGCATGTTCGGTAAGTTCCTTGATCTGGTCTCGAGTAACTCTCCTCATAATCCCTTGTCTCATTTGTTGTGATCCCGTCAATTTCCCTAGCAATTCTTCAGGTATCTACAAAATTTAATAATATTAAACTTTTATCACATAATTGATTTACCAAGATTTGATTAAAAGACGAAGGAGTTATGAAGCATACGTTTAAACTTGCGGAGAGGACGTCTCTGGTAAAACCGGAGAAGTAGGATTGATGAAATTGTGATCGAGAAGGGAAGTAAACCTGCAACAAATCAAAGTCGAAATGACGTTTAACAAACAACGTGGTTTAACACTAATTAAAAGTGATTAAGATATTGTTAAGCTAATAAAAGGACCTGGAAGTGTCCCGGAGAGTTGTCGGGGACGGCGATCTTGGCGATGCGGAGAGGAACGGTGTCGTTAGTGTTTGTGAAAAAGCGTGTGACGCCTGAAGGAACTCTCACCACATCACCTTTCGTTATTCGAAAGGTTTCTTTTGTCTTATCCGTCACGAAACCAATCACTCCCCTCCCTGCAAAATTAATTTATTTATAGTAACTTTCTAAAGAAAGCAAGTGTAATCTTTCTAGACTATTTAGTAACTTTTGAAAGAGTTTTAACCTTTGGTTAGATTAATGTAAGTTTTGCAAGAAAGAAAAATGGATTTTAACCTTGTAGGACTAGAAAGACTGAATCGGCATCTAAATGGTGAGGCACAAGAAAAGTGTTAGGCTCCATCTCCATGAACAAGAACCGGTGGTTTACGATTCCACGGAAGAGAGTCGATGAGCGTTTAGTGAACCTAGGCAACATTTTCACGAAACCTTCCTTCGACTGAAACCAATTCTTGAAGCTCAACTTCCCGAAGTGGTACGGATTATTCGTCTCCGGTTCCTCCCATCCACCGCCAGAGCCGCCACCAGGACCTTCTTGTTCCTCTTGTTGCGGTGGTTCGAACGCTTGGACCTCCACATGGAAGTCATGGAAGGCCAAGCAGTGGGAGAAAGCTATGGAGATGAGAAGGAGAAGTGTTATGGTTATTTTGTTGATAGTTGCCATTTTTGTTGTTGATGTGTTTCTTTTTGAGGAAAATGATGGATGGTTTTGGTTTATATAGGAAAGAGAGATTGACATGCATGGTGACGAGTGTTCCTTTACACAACAAGACCACGATTGGGCACAATCAAACGATTATCCAAACACAAAAAAAGGAAGAGAAAATGGAGAAAACAATCAATAATTCTAGAAGTTGTAAAGCGATGCAAGAAGTTGATTATTATAGATCTAAATCATTTCTAATTCCTTCTTGTTTTTGGATTTGAAGATGATCCGAAACATATATGTTTCAATATATAAGATAATAATCAAAATTTTATTGGAATTCACCTCTTGCTTCTTACTATTATGTGTATGACAAAATTAATGTAATAGTTTGATACTTACGCGTTAACAAAAAGATTAACCTGAAATTACGAAGAATAGAGACATAGAAGATATGGATAATACTTGGATTGACGTGGTACGGAAGATAAGTACGAAGATTGGATCTTGATTCTTTCTGATGTTACGTGTCTCATCACCACGTTTTGTTCTACTTCGAATGGCATGACTAAGACACTCCCATTTAAAAAAAAAAAAATCTTTAGTGTGCTCTTTTTTTGCAGACATCACGTGATACACAGCTATGATTTGCATACCTTTCTGTTAAAATTGGCTTTGGTTTAGAACAAAATCCAAAATTGGCATTGGTGTGAATGAACGTATTCAACAAAAAGAGGAGATCAATATGGGCGAAGACAAATTTACATCAAACCTAACAACGAAACTACAACTTATTTATCAGGAGGACCCAATCGTCATCTGTAACAAAAGAAGACAAACTCTGTCATACAACAGAGGGAATGGTTAGCATCGAGCAATAAACCCGCTGTGGAGAACCATGCTTCCATACTATCTAACTGTCATGATCCCCTATTATCACTAGATAGTATATAGATGCTTGACACTTGGAGCATGATCTTAAATCAAATGGATTATATCTAGAATATCCTTAAAGTTATATAAATATCTTTCTCTGTAATTGTTCGAGGGGTATGAAAAACAGAGTGTGTTAAAAACAGAGTAACGTCTTTTTTCAAGTAAAAGCAAATCCTCTTTTGAATTATTCACATGGTATCAGAGCTCTCATAAACCTTCACGGGTGCTGTAATGGCTGAGAGACCCGATCCTTATCCCTTTCCTTCTAATGTTCATGTCTCCAGTTCTGTCACAATAAAGTTGAATGACAGTAACTACCTTCTCTGGAAGACTCAAATGGAGTTTCTCCTTCGTAGTCAAAGGCTCCTTGGCTTTGTTACATGCCAAATCGCTCAACCAGCAGAATACACAACCACCACCGTCGACAATATCATCGTTCAAACACCAAATCCACTTTTTGAGGCATGGATCTGCAGCGATCAGCTTGTCATCTCCTGGATTTTTGGTACTCTTACAGAAGAAGTTCTCGGTACTGTTCACTGCTTGGCTACATCTCATAATGTATGGGTTTCTCTTGCTGACAACTACAACAAAAGTTCTGTTGCTCGTGAGTTTGAGCTCCGTCGGAATCTTCAACTAATGTCTAAGCGAGGTAAAGATTTCTCCACCTACTGCCGTGAGTTTCGTGCTATCTGTGACAAACTTAGCTCCATTGGGAAGCCAATAGACGAGTCCATGAAGATATTCTCCTTCATCAATGGTTTGGGTCGTGAATATGACCCAATAACAACAGTTGTTCAAAGTTCCATGACATGTCTCCCTACACCAACGCTCAATGATGTTATTTCTGAGATCTCTGGCTTTGATGCGCGTCTCCAGTCCTATGATGCAGTATCTGATATTACTCCTAATCTGGCGTTCCAAACCCAGAAATCTGGCTACAACAGCGGAGCTCAAAGGGGTCGTGGTAATTCATACTCTCGTCTTGGCAGTAGGGGTCGTGGTGGCTTCTCAACACGTGGCAGAGGCTTTTCTCAGCAAGTTAACACATCTGGTTGGAATCAAGCTTCAAGCAGCTCCAATAACCCTCGCCCTATCTGTCAGATATGTGGTCGTACGGGTCATTCTGCTCTTAAGTGTTGGAACATATTTGATGTGAACTACCAGAGTGATGATGCTCCACAAGCTCTCTCTGCTCTTCATACCTCAGACAACACTGGACAAGAATGGTTTCCCGACTATGGTGCTTCAGCTCATATTACTTCAATAACTGCCCCCTTGACTACATCGACACCATATTCAGGACCAGAGAACGTCATGGTTGCTGACGGAAACTTTCTTCCCATTACTCATGTTGGCTCTACCACTCTCACCACTTCAACAGATAGTCTTCCTCTTAATGATGTTCTTGTATGTCTATCAATTCAGAAATCATTATTGTCTATATCAAAATTATGTGAAGACTATCTTTGTGGGGTATTATTTGATGCTAATGCTGTCTATGTGATCGATCTCGAAACTCAGAAAGTGGTGACAAAGGGCCCACGTCGTGAAGGTTTTTATGTGTTGGAGAATAAAGAGTTTGTAGCTTTCTTCTCAAATCAACAGTGTGCTGCTAGTGATATGATCTGGCATCAACGTCTCGGACACGCAAATTTCAATATTCTCCAACTTCTTAAGTCAAGTAAGGTGATAGTAGTGAATAAGAGCAGTCCATCGCTCATTTGTGAACCGTGTTAGTTGGGGAAGAGCTCGCAACTTCCTTTTTTTATTTTTGAGTCTAGTGTCAAGGAACCAATAGATCGAATACATTGTGATCTGTGGGGTCCCTCTCCAGTTGTATCAGTCCAAGGTTTCAAATATTATGTTGTGTTTATTGACAACTTTTCTCGATACTCCTGGTTGATTCCTCTCAAGGCAAAGTCTGATTTCTGTGACGTGTTTCATAGCCTTTCAAAAACAAGTTGAAAACCAGTTTCGCAAAAAGATAAAGATCTTTCAAAGCGATGGGGGTGGTGAATTTATGAGCACTAGATTCAGAACCCATCTAAAAAACCATGGTATTGGTCATTTGATATCATGTCCGTCCACACCCCAACAGAATGGTCTTGCTGAACGCAAGCATAGACACTTAACAGAGCTCGGGTTGTCTATGTTGTTTCAGAGTCAAACTCCATTGAAGTATTGGGTTAAGGCTTTTTATTCTGCAAACTTCATAAGCAACATGATCCCATCTGCTGTTTTGGGACAGAAAAGTCCCTCTAAATTGTTGTTTTGCAAACCGCCGGATTATTCCTTTCTGCGAGTCTTTGGTTCTGCGTGCTATCCATGTCTACGCTCTTATGCTCAACACAAGTTTGAACCTCGCTCACTTCAGTGCGTGTTCTTGGGGTATCATGCTCAATACAAAGGCTATCGTTGTCTTTATCCACCAAGTGGTCGAGTGTATATCAGTAGACATGTAATCTTTGATGAACTCTGTTTCCCGTTCAGCAACAAATACAGATGCCAGGTCCAACAACACAAAACTGGTCTACTAAAAGCATGGCAGGATGGTACATATTCGTCACCTGTTCCTCACTATCTCCCTTCTCCTCCTTACAACATTTCAGTATATCCACAAGAAGAGAACAACTCTCCAGTACCTGCAGTTTCTGAATATTCACCTGCAGTTCTTGAATCTGAGCCTGCAGTTTCTACATATTCACCTGCAGTTCCTGTGATTGATGCTCCTGCCACGCCGGAGGTCTCTTCGCCTGTTCCAATGGAAGCTTCGTCCTCCTCACAGGCTGTTCCTTCTCCCGAAACAATGGAAGACGTCACCACAACACAAGTTCCCTCTATGATCACGAGATCTCGGCAAGGGATTCGAAGACCCAATCATCGGCACCCTATGACCACAAGATCTCGGCTGGGGATTCGAAAGCCCAATCTTCGGTATGCTCATGTTGCCAGCAAGACACTCCCTTCACTACCAAAGACGATAACAGATGCCTTAGCGCATCCTGGTTGGCATCAAGCGATGATCGATGAGCTTGACTCAATTTATCAAAACCATACTTGGACTTTGATACCTGCAACATGTGATATGAATATTCTTGGTTGTCGATGGGTTTTTACTGTCAAACTTCATGCAGACGGGACTGTAAATAAGCTAAAGGCCAGACTTGTCGCTAAAGGTTTTGATCAAGAAGAAGGAGTAGACTTTGTTGAAACGTACAGTCCGGTTGTTCGCACTTCAACAATTCGAACAGTCTTAGCAGTTGCAACTGCTAAACGATGGAGCATCACTCAGTTAGATGTGAAAAATGCCTTCCTCCATGGTGAGCTCCAAGAACCTGTTTATATGATGCAGCCACCAGGATTTGAAAACCTTGCTCTTCCCTACCATATCCGTTCTCTTCATAAAGCCTTTTACGGATTGAAACAAGCTCCAAGAGCATGGTTTGATAAATTCAGCATTTTTCTTCTTGAGTATGGCTTTGTTTGCAGCAAGGCTGATCCCTCTCTCCTTGTATATCATCATGATGGAGATACGTTGGTTCTATTGCTCTATGTGGACGACATTTAGCTCACGGGTTCTAATCCTTCACTTTTTCAGTCTGTAATTAGAGAACTCAACACTCGATTCTCAATGAAGGATTTGGGAAATCTACATTACTTCTTGGGTATTCAAGCGCATAAAACATCTGGAGGACTGTTTCTCTGTCAAACCAAGTACACTGAAGAAATCCTGCATCACGCCAATATGAAAGATTGTAATCCGGTTCACACCCCTCTTCCATCACGTCTCGATCATGTGTTTCAGGACAAGCGCTTGTTCTCTGATTCTCGCTATTTCCGGAGCCTTGCTGGTAAACTTCAATATCTTACTATAACTCGCCCAGACATACAGTTTGCCGTAAACTTCATTTGTCAGAGGATGCACTCACCAACTGAATCAGACTTCATTTTGCTGAAACGAGTTCTTCGGTATCTTTGGGGTACTTCTACGATGGGGCTACAGCTACACCATTGTAGTGACTTGTCCTTAGCTGCATACAATGACAGTGACTGGGCCGGTTGTCATGACACACGCCGTTCCACAACTGGCTTTTGTGCTATG